ACGCAATTGCCAAATATCCGTATTTCTTAGATTCGACAAACTAAAAATGTTAAAGTGAATAAACTTGAATTTCATCAATAATAAACGAATAATTAAATTATTAACACACAACAGATAATTATATTGTAATAATCTTGTAGTTATAAAATAACCATGGTATACAAATTTTTTTGCATTAATTAATAGTGGCATAAAATAATTTGTAAATTGGCTTTCACCACAAAAATTTTTTCTTCTTTTACACTTTTCGTAATAAAAAAATTTAATTTACTGCGGACACAATGAAACCGATCGAAAGTTAGAGGAAAAAAAAAACAGGACATTTAATTTACGAAATTCAAATCTATATATATACATTTATGAAGCCTGACACTTCAATAATCTTATGGATATTATTTACGCATACTAAGTATTTCTTTGACTTTTAATTTATACATTTGATTAAGTTCGCAGCTAAAAAAAATATTAGAGTTTTTTTAACTTCCTTGAAAAATGTGTTTGATGATATGAGCAACATTGGCTTGGTGTCCTTGTTCTAACGAATTCAGCAATGTGTCTCCATTTTTTCCCAAATTTAAGAAATGCTTCGTTAAAAGCTTTGATTTCTTCTGGTTTCCATCTTCCGTTGTTAACCTTAGGATTAATGCTTGAACATCGTTTATAGTGCATTTTAATATCGTAAACGCTTCTATCAGGAAAATTTTCTGATATAATTTTCCAATTTTCGCCATGCTTTGCAACCAGATTTCGGAGTGCCTGGTTTTCATCTTTTGTCCACTCTTTTCTTATGATGATGAAGTAACGACTATAAACATCATTTCGTGCACGATTCATGTGTCTTCCAATCAATGTCCATTTAAAACCATATTGTTCGACTAGCTTAAGAAGTATACAATCTTCTTCAGATGTCCATTTGCCTCGATTTCTATATAATATATCTATCCAATGATTTTTAACTTGATGTCGGTCTCTATGTGTAAATAGTTTAGATATCTGTGCCCATTTTCCAACTCCATATTTAGCGATTCCAGCAGCTAATATTTTATCTTCTTCTGGTGTCCATGGATTATGATATGATGAAATTCAAGTTTATTCACTTTAACATTTTTAGTTTGTCGAATCTAAGAAATACGGATATTTGGCAATTGCGT